GCTTTTATTGCTGCTGCTCCCCCCCCCCTCTCCAACTCCATTAGCCTTCGAGATTAATGTCCGTCGTCCAACGAAACTTCTTCCCTGCCCTCCCTCACGGTCTTTTGTTGCTTTTGGTCTGACATTTTGTCCCGCCTCTTCTCCTTCTTCCTCCCTTTTTTTTTAAAGAATATTATCTGCCGGGAATTTACTCTTCTTCACGCTTCGCTCTTTGCATTTGCCGCTGCCGCTGCTGCGCGCGCGGGGGGACGGCGGCGGGAGGGCCGCCGATTACACTTTGATTTATTTCGTCCCCCCCCCCACGCAGGCAGGCAGGCAGGCAGACTCCCGTCCGCGTCGGAGTGCGCGCGCCGCACGTCGCCCCCCCCCCGCCTTTCTGTCTGCCTGCCCCCCGCCGCCGCGTGGCACTTTTCACACACGCAAAAAGAAAAAAGAAAAAAAACAACTTTGTGGTTCCTCTCGTTTCCTCGCAGGAGCGCTTCCCCCCCACCATACATGCATATATATATATATATACGTGTGTGTGTGTGTTTTTTTTCCCTTTTGTCTTTGCTTTTTATTTACTAAATTATTTCTCGCCCGCTGCCTCGGCGCATCCCCGCCGCGCGGCAGGGCGACTTTAGTTGCGGCGGGCATCCCTTCTCCTTCCTCTTCCTGCTGCTGTCGTCTGCCCTTCTCACGTTCGGGGCTGTAGGGGGCCTTTGCGGGGGGGAAGTCGGCGCCGCCGGCCGGCCGGCCGCGTGTCCGTCCGACCCTCTCGGCGGCCCCCTACAGCCCGCGCCGCGCTTCGGCGCGCACGCTTACGACGCCTCCTCCGCGAGCTTGCAGGCGAGCTTGGCGCCATCCTCGAAGTTACTGGCGGGGTGGAGCGCGAGGCCGCTCTCCTGCAGGATGCGCTTGCCCTCATCCTCTTTGCTGCCGCTGAGGCGCACGACGACGGGGACCATCTTACCCTTCAGCTGGCGCGAGGCCGCCACGATGCCCTCCGCGATGACGTCGCAGCGCATGATGCCGCCGAAGATGTTCACGAGGATGCTCTTGACGTTCGGGTCGCCCATGATGATCTCGAAGGCGGCCACGATCTGCTCCTTCCGGGCGCTGCCGCCGACGTCGAGGAAGTTGGCGGGCCTGCCGCCGTGCATGGAGATGAGGTCCATCGTTGCCATGGCGAGACCGGCGCCGTTCACGAGGCAGCCAACGTTGCCGTCAAGGGCAATGTAGTTGAGGTCGAACTTCTTGGCAAGCACCTCCTTGGCGTCAATCTGCGTCTTGTCGGCGAGGTCGAAGATCTCCTTCTGGCGGAACTCGGCGTTGTCGTCGAAGGAGAGCTTCGCGTCGATGCACATGACGTCGCCGTTCTCCAGCTCCACCAGGGGGTTGATCTCGACCTGGGTGCAGTCCTTCGACTTGCCAACGTTGTAGAGGGCCTCGAACTGCTCCGCGGCGTTTTCGGCGGCGCGGCCGGTGAAGCCGAGCTCCTTGGCAAAGGCAACACAGTTTTCGTGGTTGATGCCCTCCTGGACGTTGATGCGCATGCGCTTGATCTTCTCGGGGCTCTTCTTGGCGAGCTCCTCAATGCCCATGCCGCCCTCGGCGCTGCCGATGAACATCGGCGAGGCGGTCTTGCGGTCGAGCAGGAGGGCGAGGTAGAGCTCACGCTTGATGCCGGTGATCGCCTCCGTCACGTAGAGCACGGAGACCTTCTGCCCCTTGGGCCCCGTCTGCTTCGTCACCAGGGTGTTGCTCAGCATGTGCTTGGCGCACTCCACGGCCTCCGCGGCGTTCTTGCAGACGTGCACGCCACCCTTGTAGCCGTCCACGAAGGTGCCCATGCCACGCCCGCCGGCGAGAATCTGGGACTTGACGACCTTCTTCTCCGTCTTGATCTTCCCGAGTGCGGCCTCCACCTCGGCGAGGCTGCGGCACGCGATACCGAACTCCGCCTTGCAGCCGCCCTCCTTCAGGATGGCCTTCGACTGGTACTCGTGGATGTTGAAGAAGCGGCGCTGCACGCTGACGCCCTTCGGGATGCACACGCGGCCAAAACGGGTGAACATGACTTTTTTTTTGTTTGTTTGTTTAAAAAAAAAAAAGAGTTACGGCTTGTTGGATTGTTTGTGTTGGACTTGCTGGAATTAACCTCTTGCCGTGCAGCGCGAAGGAGAGAAGAAAAAAAAAGGGGAAAAGGGGAAAAGGGAAAAGGGAAAAGGGAAAAGGAATGGCCTACACGCAGCGCTCCCGCCCGCCCGCCCGCCTCCGCGCAAACACGTGGGGAAGAGGCGAGCAAAGAAGCAAGCAACGAACAAAAAAAAAAAAGGAGGAGGAAGGGGGGAAGGAGGGGGTCGAGCAGACGGTCCCCCACCGCGGCGAGGCGGGTGGAGAGGACGGCGACGGCGTGCGGTGCGGTGCGGTGCGGTGCCCGTGGCGTGGGTCAAGACACACACACGCACACAAAAAAAAAAAAAGTTAATGTGAGCGGCGAGAGAAGAGCCTTTGCATGGCGCTCCAGTTCCACCAGAAGGCGTAGGCGTTGTAGAAGAAGAGGGCGAGGGCCACGGTGTTCAGCTGCGTCGCCCCTTCAAGGTCGGCGTAGAGCGCGGCGAAGACCCCCAGCCGCAGCGTCTCCCCCGCCGCGGCGAGCAGCAGCGTCCAGCGGTTGAGCGGGTCGTAGGCCACGAGCAGCTTCGACAGGGCCAGGTAGAGCAGCAGGACGGCGAGCAGCGCCGCCCCCTGCGGGCTGTCGGCGACGCGGTCAAACCACATCATCGTGGCCAGCGACAGGGGCTGCCGCAGCACCGCCAGCCGGAACACGCAGACGAGGTCCAGCAGCAGGGCCGTCGCCAGGGAGTACCACTGAAGGAAAAACATGCCGGCCGCCGACTGCGAGCCGCCCACGCCGCTAACTACACTGCGAGACTCGCACACGCACGGAAGGCAAGAGGCAGAAGGGCGCGGCAGCTGTGCGAGGGTGAGGGGGGGGGTCTCTCGCGTAACGTTGAACAGAAGCGTCAAGGGGTGTTTTGGAAACCTGGCGGCGTGCAACACGCGCCGACACATGCACAGACAGGGAGGGGGGCAAGCAGTAAAAAGAGGGTTTTAGTTGTTCTTCTTCTCACGCAAACTGACGACGTTGGCAGGGGTGAGTGCCTTGAACGCCTGCATGCCGAAGAGGACGCAGTTCGCCGCCATAACCGCCGCAAGCGCGTAGCAGACGGCGGAGGCGGGGCTCCGCCGCAGCGACCAGAGGAGCAGAAAAAGGCCCAGCTCCAGGGCATGCACCAGCGCGTTGTGCACCTGAATGAGTCGATGCCGCGGCAGGTACGCCGCGAGGAAGCGGGAGGTGGCCAGCAGGGCGAGTACGCCCGCGTACATGCAGGCGTACGAGTGCCGCTCGAAGGGGGCAGCGCTATCGAACCACGGCGTCACCTCGGCAAGGCCGCCGCCGCCGCCGCAGAGAAGCATGAGGATTGTGGGAAGCTCAAACAGCCCCAGCACGACGGTGTACGCCGTGAGTGCACGTGCCATTTCACTTCCACGCCGCGGCCCAACTCCTCTTTTTATTATTATTGTGTGCTTGCCTGCTTCAAGGCCTCCGGCGCCGCTTACCAAAAGCAAGAGGATATAAAAACGACGGCTGTGTGGACCGCAAATACAAAAAAGTTGTGCAGCAACGTCGCACAGGGGAGGAGGGCAGAGTTGGTGCACGTCACTTGGCAGCGTCCCCCACCCCACCGCACCGCCGGAGATGGACACGCACGCACGCACGCACGCAGCCGCAAGAAGGAATTTAGTCGTCGTCGTCCTCCTCCTCCTCCTCCTCCTCCTCCTCCTCCTCCTCCTCTTCCTCCTCGTAGTCTTCACTCTCCTCCTCCTCGTCGGTTGCACCGCTGCTGCCGCTGCCGTTGCCGTCGCTCCCGTGGTTGTTGTTGTCCCCCGCGTCCTTCTCTGCCCGTCCGTACTTCGCCCGAAGCTCCTCCAGCGGGACCGCCTTGTCCTCCTCGAGGTTCTTCAGCACGTCCCCGATGTTTTCCCCGTGCATCTTCTCCGCCTTGCGCAGCGTCGACTCGTCGTCCTCGAAGGCCGCGGCGGGAATGTAGGCGGCGTCCTCGTCCACGGCCAGGCCGCACTGCTTCGCGAGCTCCACGTACGTCTTGCGGAACTCCAGCGCCTGGCGGTGCCACTCCGTGCCCTTCGCGTTGTACTCCAGCGCGTTGGAGATCATCTGCGCCACGGCGTTCTGCACCTCCGCGTCGCTGTCGTACGTGCCGGCCTCCACGCCGCGGCGGATGGTCGAGAGGTCGACGGGAAACTTGATGCGCGTGTGGTAGTCCGGCAGCTCCGTGGCGCTGACGGGGTGGTGGAACATCTTGAGCGCGTCCTTGTCCCACAGCCGGCGCACGAAGTCGAGGCAGCGCGCCTTGTTCAGCGCCCCCTCCCGCTCCCGCTTCCCCATCGCTGCCGCTGCTGCTGGCACACACGCTCACGCACACTCACACACACGCACCCTTGCTTTTCTTCCCTCGTGGTGTTGTTGTTGTTTGCCACGAACTGGTATTTTCTTCTTTTTCTTTTTTCTCTCGGTCGTTGTTATTCGATGTTTCCTCCTCTCCTCAGTTCCCTCCACCCCGCTCCCTCGCCCTCTCTCTCTCGTTCTGCCGCTATTCGTCCACCGCTGCCTCCCTCCCGCTCGACCCGCGCGTTTGCGTGTCGCGAGGGAAAAACCACACGCCCCACGCACACGCACACACCCGGGCGCGGAGGGAAAGAGAACAACGACACAAAAAAAAACAAGAGAAAAAGAGAAAGAAGGAGGGTCCGCTGCGGGGCACACGCTGCCGCGCGACAAGGCGGTGGAGGTGCACGGAGGCGGGGCGAGGGGAATCGTCCCACACACACAAACACAAACGCACACGCACACGCAGAGAGACACACGTGGGGCGACGCAAAGGGGGAAGAAAAGTCGGCGCCCGACTGCCCCCCCCCCTCACCGCCACTTCTCGCCTCCCAACTTCTCCCCCTTGCGCCGCGTCAGCGACCAGTACCGCCCCTTCATTGTCAGGTCCCGGTAGTCGTGCAGCTTGCCGCGGGCAGCGGCGTTGCGGTAGCCGTCGGAGTCCCCGCCCAGCCCGCTGAAGCCGTAGGGATCCAGCTGCTGATCCACAAGCGAGAGGTTGCCCCCGTCGCCGTCGGCGACGTCCTCCGCTGCGGCAAACACGCCCATGTTCTTGGCGCGAAAGCTCTTGTCCAGCGTGAACGCCTCCCTGCTCTGCTGGGCGCGGCGGACTCCCTCCTCATGCCGCTTCTTGCGAAACACCTCCTCACACATGAGCTGCAGCGCGGGCGCCAGGCCTGCCTCCGTGTGCCACGTCCCGAGCGCGACGCCAAGGGCGGCGGAAATGGGAAACACCGGCAGCTCCACCCGCCTTCGCAGCTCCTCGAGCTTGTCCGTCAGCAGCGCCCCGCCACTGTCGGTGTGCAGGTCCATCTTGTTGGCAAACACCATCAGCGCCCGGCTGCTGAGGCCAGGGAGGTAGTACTCCAACTCCCGCCGCAGCGCGTCTACGACGTCCCACGGCTCCGCTGGCGCCTCCGCCTCCGCCGGGGCGTAGGAGCCCGACATATCCACCACGTACGCCAAGGACTGCGTCCGCTCCACGTGGCGCAAAAACTGATGCCCCAGGCCCCGATTTTCATACGCCCCCTCAATGAGCCCGGGCAAGTCCGCAACTCTGCAGGTGTTTCCGTACAAGTCGTGAATGACACCAACGTAGGGGCGGAGCGTGGTGAAGGCGTACGGCGCAATCATGGGCTTACTTGTGCTGATGGCCGCCAGCAGCGAGGACTTCCCGGCGTTGGGGTACCCAATGAGCCCCACGTCGGCGAGTGTCTTGAGCTCAAACTGCACCAGCATCGTGTTCCCCGGCAGGCCCCGCGTGGACTCCGTGGGGGAGTGATGCCATTTGTTCGCGAAGGCCGCGTTTCCCTTCCCGCCCTGCCCCCCCTCCAGCAGCAGCAGCTCCAGACCATCCTCGTCGACGTCGTAGACGACCTCGTTCGTGTCCAGGTCCACCACCTCCGTGCCGACGGGGAGCTCCAGCAGCAGGTCCTTCCCCCTCTTGCCGTGGGCGGTGCGGGCGAAGCCGACGCTGCCCGGCGACGCACTGATTTGGCTCCCCATCGCTTTGATGTGCGCGAGGTCGACGACGGCTTTGCGGCAGCGCAGCAGCACGTTGCCGCCGTTCCCGCCGTTCCCGCCCCCGGGCCCGGCGAACTCGTTGCCGTGCTCGTGCGCCATGACACTCGCCCCGTCACCGCCGGCGCCGCTGGAGACCAGCACCTTCACGGCGTCCACGAAGGGGTGGTCCCGCCCGCCGAGGCACCGCCCGCACCGCCGCAGCATCGGCAGCAGACACCGCCCGAAGAAACCCGCCACAGAGCAGGCACGCGCCACGCGGGGTGGGGGGGGGGGGGGCGCAGGCAGGCCGGGGCGTCGAGAAGTAACGCACTGAAGAAGCAGAAAAGGAGAACACACAAAAAAAAAAAAAAAGGTAAACAACAACAAAAAAAAAGACCGCGTCCACACAGCAGTGACAGCAGTAGCACCAAAGTCCAGCACTTGGCAGTAAAGCGGCATGCATACTCCCACAAGTATGTTATTAATGAAGCGAGAGAAGGCAAAAAAAAAAAAACGAACGCGATAATGCATCTACCCAAACACACACTGCGACAGCGCATTCATCGTACTTCGATTACAAATAAATATTTTATACGTTCCCTCTCTCTCTCTCTTTCTTGTCC